CTCCTCCCGCAGCTCGCTGTGTAATTTAGTGTTTTATGGAGATATTGTTGTTCTGTCAGGCTGTCATTTCAGGGCCTCCTGCCACAGTATGAGCTGCCTGTCAGCGTCAGGGAGGGGCAGCCGGGTCCGTTTGTTTAGCTGGTCTGCTCTGAAATTAATGTGCATGGCTCTCTGTCATTTGACATTTTTGCTTTGTTTAAATGAAGTGAGACAGAAAGAAACACACCACACATCCTGTATGAGCCTATTAATGTCCTGAATGCTGCTCATGATGTGGGAAGTCCAAGTACATTTTAGAAAGCGTCAGCTTTTGTTTGTCGGGAGGACCAGAGTACGTGCAGTGAATTAAATAAATGAACAAGATGGTGAGTATTTGGAGGGATCATTGAACTGAGAAGTTGCACCTGAACTCTGACCTCAGACCCATAGTGGAGTTGAAAAGGAGGCTTGAAGGATGCAGAGCAGGACCAATCGGGAGGAAAGAGGAAGTTCAAACCATCTCTTCCATCAAACATAGGATCATATCCCCTCGGCTTTCTAACCAAACAGCCACACAGAGATTTAAAGCAGCAGTTTGTTACTTTTTATGGCAAATGTTTTTTACGCATTTGTTTAAACCTTCACTGTGTTGTGACAGCACAACATGAGTCAATCTGTGACGAGAACGATCTCCTCCACCTCGTTGCTGAGCCACTATTATCATCTGAAACCAACCAATCAGAGCCAGGAAGAGTGAAGGAGAAACGGCGAAGCCAACAGAAGACGGAGTTTCAGTAAAGCTTGGACTCATCAGTCTCCTGGGTACTTCAGTGGTACGATCCATGCTGGGACATTTCCCAACCTGCACCTGTTGAACTATAGACTGGAGATAAGATTGGGCCCAAATGAGGAAACATTAAAAATACTCAGAGTGAACAGTAGGAAGTAAATTTTGACAAGCGAGGCTCTGTTTTTCTCCTGCCTACTGGTGTATCAGTATAACTTCATGTTTGTTTTAGAATATTTCATTTTAGCTTTTCTCTGTGTGTTTAGGAAGTGCTGTTGCGATGCACAGTATTGAAGCCTACTTGACAAACTAGTTTTAACTTGCTAATGAGCAAAATGAAAATGGGTTTTGTCAGTGGACCAGAGATTTTAGTGAAATTTAACACAGGCGGTATCACAAGTTCTAAAGTATTCTGTGTTGTGAAGCACCAGTTTAAATTAGCTGGAGGTTTTCCTCGCGATTTTAACACTGTCAGCAGTAATTACTTTGTTAAATAACACTTTCATGGAGTAAAAAAAACATTGCTATTTACTTGCTGGATAGAGCTTCATTATGTAACTTTTATTAAAAACATGTTTTTCATATGAAGTATCGCCATGTCGTGACAGATAATTTGCCAAAAAATCAAGCTTATCATAAACCAATATCTTAATCTGATCTGGTTTTACCGTCACATGCCTGCTCAACAGAAACAGTTTCCTGTGTGGATGAAATTTTCCTCATTCACATTGAAATATTGATTTGAGGAATGTTTCCTCTGGGAATTAATGAGCAACCTCAGTGAACTTCAACACGAGGCAGAGGTGTGCAGAAATGTGACATTTTTTGGCAGATGGACCTCTGGTCATATTTTCTACCTTATTCCAACAGTTTTACTCCAACATGCAGAATGTTCCACAGGAAAGCCTCCCCGGAGACGGACCGCTTCCCTCTTCCTGTTCTCTCCGTAACGTTTTGAGTCACCCTGGCGAACGCTCCAACACCACAAGCATTTCAAAAATCCACTGCAGCTTTTCCTAAGAGCAGGACAGAGGGCCAAGATTCTGAGTGGAACTGGAGAAGTTGGAGGTTACTGCCTTGAGTTTTCTTTCTGCACACACACACAGCGATTAGAGCTCCCCTGCAGGACGTGTGAACTCTTCTCATCTGCAGTGGGAACCAAACGACCCAACATCCAGACGCTGTGCTAGCTGCCACATCACATCAGACGCTCTGCATTCCTGATGAGGGTTACTCAGTTCAGCATGATGACCCAAAACTTTGTAGACCAGATAAAGACATTTTTGCACATCCACTCTTCACCCCGTTGGTGCACATGTTTTCTTCAGTTGTGCACAAGTTTGACATCTTGGAGAACTCCTTTTCTGCAACTAAAGTGACTTAACAGCTCATTTCCCTTTTTACATAAGCTCCAAATATTTGCATAAGCCTGTGCAAATGTGCTTTTGAAACCCATGCTGCGCCTTGGCAACAAATATGCATTCCCAGGCTGCAGCAAGAAAACATGAACTGGATTCTGGTCCCATAACTGTAAGTTTTTACGCTGGCAGTGCGACTTACTATGCAGACTGTAAGTCAGTTCACAGCTACCTGATAACTCGGCAGGAGGGATGCCAGCGACACACTAAGGATTACTGCTGTCTTTGGTGTTGGAGCTGTTCTGGAACCCCACAACGCTGCAGAGTTTCTCCCATGCAGGTGTGCAGCTTTCTAATGCTGCTTCCTGTCAGCTGCAGTTTACAGCATCGCATCAGAAGGACCTTAAACCACACAGAGGGTATAAAGGCAGTTTTGTAAGGTTTTGAACTCTCCAACCCAGGGGTGGGCAATAAATTGACCTCAATTAATTAAAAAGATCAAACTTTTGCAAAATCTGAACTGTTTTATTGATGTACTCCTTCGGTTTCCATAGTTGAGTGATGTCAGCCCACCCAAACCTTACACTGTAAAAACACAAAATCCTACAAAGTAATTTTGGTCAAGCTTCTAGTCAAATATATTGATGCACTGGAAACTTTTCATCAATATATAGGAGTTTAAGTAAATAATTTCTTAATATTGATTTAAAAGAGTTTCCTTAGGCAGATTATTTCACTTTTAATGTGGAATAAACTGCCAATGGAACAAGTACATTTTCATCAATATTAAGAAATTATTGCAGCTCCTATATTTCAACAAGCTTCTATATCTTGCTGAAAAGCTACTTATAACTTTTCAGTTATAAGAAAATACTTTCAGTAGTTTTCTTATTTCAAATGCATTAATTTATTTGTACTAGAAACTAGACTGAAAATACTTGGTAAGATTTTGTTTTTTGCAGTGTACTATTTTGTTTGACAAGTATGTTTTACAGATTCTAGCAGATTTTTGATTTTTAAGTGCAGAAATATCCTTGCTTTTTCTAAAAACAAAGTTTTATGACGGAAATTTGCTCAGTTTTCTTCATCTGCAATGGGCCTGATACGCTGCCATACAAACTGGTGTGATTCATGGATGCAAATAATACGTTGTGTTTGAAAAAACACAAAATCTATCAAAAATTTAGATTTTTTATTTTATTTTTAAATTGCCTTATTTTCTTTAATCAAATGTATTTTTGGAAATGCAGAAGGCTTTTGTTACAGGAGATTCTTCTGGTAAAAAGTGAGCAATAAGCATTTACCTCCTTGCCAAGTGGCAGCCATGCTGGTCAGTGACTGAACGACCTAACGGAACAATGGTGAATTGCAGAACATCTCTGTGTTAATTAACACTTGACAGAAGAGCTGGACACGGAGCCTGAGGTCTGTGAAAGCGGCTGGATGCCGATCACCTCCCCCACACGTCTAATAAGCACCACAGTGTTTATGGACTGCAGGGCTGCTAGCAGCTAGCCTCGACTTGTCCATGTGAAAGCAGCTGAATTTGCACTCCTTTCATCCTCTTTGCACTTAGAGGCGTAAAACCTCATCAACCCTCTGAGTGCCCAAACAGTCATTTAAGGACACATTCCCAGCACTGGTGCCGTTAGTCAGCCACATGCTGCTCATCGTGGCAGCCTCTGAGCAAAGACTGGGAGTGGTGCAGCAGACTGCCAAGCTAGAAAATAACACAATAATGGGCCCACGCTCAGTTTTTCCCTCCTGAAATGTGCACCGCTTTAAAGTTTTGGTGTAAAACTAAAGTTACGGCATGTCTGAGATTCCAGACAAAGTGTTGCTTAACGCTGACCACTCAGCTGATGATCAGACACAATACTTCCTCCTGACACCAAGGAGTCCCTGACATCTCTGAGGAGACGTTTGTTTTTCCTCCTCGCTGCCCTGCAGCTGCGCACGGTGACTAAATGTTCTCGACTTTTAGGAAGATTCTTGGGCAGAGGCAGCAGCCACTCCTAAACTGTGATTTAATTCACTAGTGATCCACGTCCTCCATAGGCGGCACTCCTCTGTTGGGTCATCCTTCCATGTCCAGTGTATTTCTAAGTTCAGGATGTGGAACCTTCTGGGACTTTACTTTGGAAAAAGGTGTGTTTACTAATAGAGACTGATGGAAATCTGTTTACACCAGAATGAGAATGACTTCTTGAAGAGTCAGTTTTATGGAAAATTTCCCCCCCCCCCCTTTTTTTTTTTTTTTTTTAGCTTTACATCATGTTCTAATCCTGGAGTGTTGCCTCAATTCATCCATGCATGTTTGAGAAATCCTTCAGTCTCCTTTATCGTTGGAACAAGTTTGAAAGAGCCCATCAGGCGAATAAAAGCCCACCTGTGGGTGGTGTTTAATGGAAAAAATAACAGGGCGTTGCCCTTCACCCCCATATCCAACAACCAACCACCACAGGCCTCCAGCTGGACCTCAGCACTGGGAGACATGTTGAAGTAAAATCTCTCCAATGAAATAAAACGAATAAGCAAGCGAAAAAAAACATGAAGACTGCAACCTTGTTTAGATGCAGATATTATATTATGTCTTTTATTCAACTGGAACAAAAGCTGTTTTAGCTTTCTCCTGATCGTTATCAATGTCATCAGCTGACAGTGTTTGTCATATAAGCCAATGAGACGCTTTTTATTCCATGGTAACGGAAAATAAGTTAAGCCAACAAATACTTCTAACTTGACTACAAAGCTCTTTTTGCACAACTTTCAGGTGTTTGGTGAACAGGTTCTCCAGTGTTTGTGGAAAGCATGGCAGACGTGCCTTCTTTGACGCTTCCCTCTCCGACTGTCCTGCTGCTTCCGTGTCGTTCCAGGTCACGGAGAGTGTCACTGCGGGGAGTGCAAATGCCACGCCGGCTTCGTGGGCGACAACTGTAACTGCTCCACAGAGACGTCGCTCTGCTTCTCGGACGACGGGAAGATGTGCAGCGGGCGAGGGAGCTGCGTGTGCGGCCGCTGTCAGTGCACCGAGCCGGGGGCGTTTGGAGAGACCTGTGAGAAATGCCCCACCTGCCCCGACGCCTGCGGCACCAAAAGGTGGAGCGCACACACACACACACACACACACACAAAAACAAAATACACTCTCAGTATACTGCTGTGACGTCAGGGACTAGTTTGATCAACAGGCAACAGGAGTGAAATATTGATTGCAAAGAGTCCATCTGAACTAATTAAGGTCATATTTAACCCTGCAGACAGCGCAGGCAGGATTTTCTACAGTTTTTGCACTAAACTGCCCGTTACTGAAAGTTGAAATAGCTTTGAACAAAAGCCCCGTCTCATCACACCTTTTCCCCAGAGCAGGTTTAGCAAATGGACATAATTTAGAGGAATTAGAATTATAATTTAAAAAAATTTTCAAAGAGGAAAATAACTGATTTAACTTCAGAGACAAGAAAAATGTTCCTTTTTACTCAGAGAATATAAACTTTTTGTTTTAACTGAATGTTAATTTCATATGCATTTGGTCATTAATATTTGTTTAGTGATGAAATAATAAGTCAGCAGTTTTATGTGGGGCCAAGATGATCCATTAGTGAGATATTTTCTGGGTTAGCAGTAAATTTGGGCTCATTGCTGTGATGAGTTTTGATCTGTGAACTTTGACCTCCCCCCTTCTTTGCTCCAGGGAGTGTATTGAGTGTCGGCTTTTCAACTCGGGGAGACTCGCTGACAACGAGACCTGCCAGCGCTTGTGCAAGGATAAAATCATAACTGTGGAGAGCCTCGGTGGGTAAATACACACAATGTATTGACTTCATTCATTTTAGTACCTGGATTTATGCCTAACCCAGATGTTTCCCCTAACTATTACTAACCATTATTAGCATATTCATAACCTTAACCAAAACCTTTGAACCCAAAGAAAAAAGAAAAAAAGAGAGAACCAGGAAAATGTCTTCATGCTCCACAAATGACCTCCCTTTGTTGGTGAAGGAAAATGGTTATTATAGTCCTCTATATGTAGAGGACTATAACAACACACACACACCTTCTAGGGCCTTGACACACCCCAGAAATGGCAAACGTTTCCCAGAAAACAGTCACCACCGCCGCTACTGCTAGCATTGATCGAAGAGCAACATTTGGTGCGACACAAACTCTGAAGTTGAACGTTTGGTAGATTTTGAACACAGCGGTCAATCACCAATCTGACGTACTAAAGGCGTCGCCATGGAGAGGAATACAGTTGAGAAGAAGGAGAAAAGAAGTAGAGCATGGAGCCAAACTGGAACAGAGAGCCATGTACAGCATGACCACTTCTAACACTATCGCTAAAATAAACATCTGGCAGGTTGCTTTGGCTCACTGACCGTCACCGAGACGAAACTGACCAGGAAATTCCAAACAGTCTGTAAGTGTGTTAAACCACACCTTTCTCAAACAAGAGTGAGAATGTCCTGGTTAAGATAAGGTAGAAATCCCTGATAAGCAAATCAAGCCCCGTTACTGTGACTTTGAACTCTTGAAAGACTCGCAGTTGACTGCTTAACATGAGGCTCAGCGATAGCAACATGTTTTTCATTCTCAGGCGCCATTATGAGCTCAGCTGGCCGTCCATCCACTCTCACTTCTAAAGCAAAGAACATACAACTGTGCCTGTTGCCACAACTCCACTGATTTAGTTTGGCTCTGCTTACAAATTTAAGCATAAATACGGTCGGCACTTAGAGGAAATCTGCAAATTGTTGTCGAGTAGCAGCTTATTCCACTTATGAGTAAGCTTAAGGGTACTATAGTCCCCCAGGATGCATCTTGATCAGGTGTCCTAATGTTGGCCGACTCCTTTCAATGCAGAGGAGTTTCTAGTTCCTGGTGGATGATGGAGCTCCTCACTCTTAAATCTGACCAACTGTATCTGGGATCTGGAGTGTTTCAGGGGATTGTTGAGCTCTGTATTCACCACAACAGGCCAGAACAACGCCCAGACTCCAACAAACAATGCTCCAGTTCATCTACGCATCTCTCAGTCTTGCAGATTTTTGCCCAGTCACGGTTTGCCCTTGCTGCTCCAAAACCAATATGGTGACAACTAAATGCTGATTGTTGGGATCTACAGCCAGTGGGTGACATCAGTGCAGCTGCTTCCACCGTTTACCGTCTGTGGTTGCTTCCTAATTTCCAGCAGACTTTTAGTGGTTCAGCCTCTAAGTTTAGCCATCGTTGGTCTTTTATTGAGATATTTTTATCCTCAACATCTATGTAGCTGTGCCGTGAGCTCTTAGATTCATACGATAATAATATGATCACAATGAATAAAATCAGAACTGACTGTAATCTGAAGAAGCCTAAGACGAGAGTAACTCGATTCTCAAACGTCCCGGTGGCCACCCGGTGTCTGCTGGTTTCTAAAAATGGAAAATAAAAGATTCACATCTTGAAAGGTTTTCACAGCCTTTGCCAAGTACCTTGTTGAAGCACATTTGGCAGTGATTGTTAGTCTGTTGCGTATTTGAATGGAGGCAAGTGTTTAGTATGCTTAGTACTAAGCACTGTGACATTTATAGCCTGAGCTAATTTGCAGTACGTGTCACCAGATGGACTTTTAACCACACAGATGTATGACTGTAGCAACAGAGTAAGAAGTAATACATTACCTCATCCTAAAACTACACAGTAAAACAATAAAACAAGAGAGCAGAACGAGAGGCAAAACCAGCAGGAAATTATCATGGCTGGCTGTAGCCATGGCTACAAGCCTGCTTCCTTTTAAGATGCTCTTTCCTCATGTGAGGAGCTCCACATGTTGATGGCTTTCACAGCCTCAACACGTCTTCATGATGCTTCTAGAAGCCTGTCACGGCCTTTGATTAGGCCTTTTCTCTTCTCCAAGTTCAGTCACACGAACAGCACCAGAAGCCATTTTAGCTCTTCCCAGAGATGATCTGTTCTATTTAAGTCCAGGTTTTGGCTAGGCCACTCAGGGATATTCTCTGAAGCTTCATCTCATTGGCTTAATCTGAGGGTCACAGCATTCCTAAAGAAACTTTATACATCTGGTTTCAGACATTTTACCTACTGTGCAGACTGGTTGTGCACGTTCTGCTACAAAGATGCATCCTCACAGCATGATGAGCCACCACCATGCTTTACAATGAGACCTGTTCACCAGGTGACTATTTCCTGTTTCCTGTCCAGCCATGAAGCTTGGAGTTAAGTTCATAATGTTGTATTTTGGTTTCACCAGAAAACTTGTCTTCTTCTGCTCAGTCTTCAAGATGTTTCAGGAAAGTTTGGCCATGTTAGCATGAAGCTAGAACTGGTGGCGTGCGTTAGCGAAAATCAACCGTCCGGTTTGTTCTCTTAACTTGAAAAGGGAAAACTTGGATTCCTGGTCATCTTGGGATTCTGAGGAAAACATCCACAAGTCCTGCTGGCTTTCTGGAATTGGAGTAGAGATCTGTGAATTTGGTGGAGATCCAAGTTTAAAAAACAAAAGTTTATCACTTTTTTCTCTCCTAACTTTGAAATATTCCTCTGACTCAGTAATTATTCTCTGTCTTCGGAAGTGTTCAGTCCATACAACTCTATAATAGTTGGAAATCACCTTTAAACATGCCACACATATAGTGTGAGTGTTGCTCAGAGGTAAGAACAAACCTTTGCCAGTGCTGCTTTAGGAGGATAAAGTGATCTGTGGTGTGTAATCAAGAGGAAGGGTCACTAACCCGAAGCAAACCTTAGAGAAAGAAGATCCAAACAAACCCAATGACCCGGTCATCTGGGTTTGTTTGCAGAGAAGCCTTCAGGAATTCTCTGCAGTTCCTCTTTGTTAAAGTGAGACGGTTTTGGTCATGACGGTTCTGTCCAACTAGAGAGCTGACTGATGAACCCGTGTGAGTAAAATGTTGAGGTGAACGGTTAGGATTTCACCCACCACTCTCACACTGGCTTCAGACTCTGGCCTACTCTGATTTTAAAGTTATTCATCCACACTTTTGTTTTGTTCATTTAAAGACAGGAAACATTGACAATAAAGGCTAAAATGTCGTTTTTAAGGGCGTAACAAGATCTTGTGATATTAAAAGGCTGCTGTATGTCTCGTCTCACAAAGCTCCATCAGCCTAAGCTGCTGTTATAAACCCCGGATTAGAAGGGGAGAGCGCTTTACAACTTGCACTCCATGGCTAATGAAATAAGAAAGCAAGGAGCTCTGGACTTGTCCTGCTGTTTCACAGTCGACAGGCTGGCTAGCAAAACGCAGTTACATAAACACCAAAGTAGCATTCAGAAGTGTTTAGAAAGTGTTTATTTGCAGCAGTTTTGGTTACTCGTTATAGAAAACATATTGTGACACAGAGACAGAAGCACCGTGAGAACAACATAGTCAGCTAGCTGTTAGCCACTAATGTCGCTAAATTGGCTATTTAACTTTTAGCTTGAGGAATCTGGTGAAACATACAAACATATTAAACTGATTAATCTTGCATGGACACTGCAGAAAATATTAACTACTAAATCTGGTTAGAGATTCTGTATAATGTGGTTTGGAATTTATTAAACTTTTACCATTTTTATTTGCAATTTGGAAAAAAAAATGTTAAAAACTCACCTGGTCTGACTCTCATGCACCCAAACGTCTCATGAACTGGTTGTATTTTTACACCTTATGTCCAACACATTAGTTTAGAAGCTGCTTCTTCATTTTTACACCAAAGTTTATGCTATAAAACTTTTAAGATTTTCAGTAACTCTCCAATCACCTTTCAGAGCTGATCAACAAGAAGTCTCTCAGCTGATTGGTCTGTTACTGTTTAGTTGGTTTGTTATACTTGAGCATCAAATGATATATTCAGGATAAAATATTTCATTGCCCTACTTGTGACAGAGATCTCAGAAGAGTGAAGTAAGTCTTCAGTCATGGTTGTTTTATTTTTGGCAGGCCTGATGAAGAGTTACCACACATAACCAAATAATATTTTCCTGTTATTATAATTCCACATGAGTCTCTCTTTAGTTGATGTGGCTCAGACTAAAATGAAATGTTTTCTGCAGACGTCAGCCTTTCCCAGGCCTTAAATATCTCCAGCTTTTATCTGATGTGAGATCTCCCCTTTATGTTCCTGTATCCACTTATTAGCATTATCCAGTATTTTCAGCTTTGATGATCAGAATGTTCAGGTATCCTGGGATCATGGGCTTACTGGTAAAGCCATAGTCATCTAATGAATCTCACAAAGCCTGTTATTTTCTAAATAGTTAGATCTCAGTTACATCAGTCTGCATTCAAAGTAGGGCTGTTGTAAAAGAATATTTTAGTAATCAAGTACTCTATAAAATATTTTTATGATTACCTGAGGAATTGGATCTTTCTCTCTCTCTCCACTCTCTCTCTGCCATTCCCACCTTTTGCTCCAAAACCGTGACGACAACAGAAAAACTGTCATAGTCCAACTATCGCACCACAAAGTTCAACAATCCTTATTTGTCACCCAAACCCTGACACAACGCCACACAATTCAACACCAAGCTGCCAGTACTTCAAACATCTCATAGGCGGAAGTAAGAGCGCTGCCCACCACAAATGCGGAACACAGTGCGCTACATAATAAAACATAATTTAACGAAGCTTGGAGGCAGATAAATTTTCCTCGAGGAATTTTAATAATCGAGATACTCGAATCATTGGAGGAATCGTTTCAGCCCTGATTCAAAGACATCACTGCTCTCATCCAGACCCAAAGAAGCCAATCCAAATTAGCAATGCAGACTCTACCAAGCAGCCTTTCATAAACTCCCCATCAGAGAGTAACTTACCATATCTTGCAGTTTTGTGGGATTACAAATCTGTTCTTAACTGGGGAAAAGTGGAGCTTTGTAAAACATCCTTGTTGCTTTCTCAGTTTAGCTAGAAAGTCCTGGTACACGTGTGTCGGCTCTGAATCAGATTGTTGCACGTTTACTCTTTGTAAATTGTAATCCTTAAACGCCGCTGTAAGTTCTCCACACAGAAAGCACACAGCTTTTCCGTCAGTTTTAGTAAAAAATTATTTAAAAGTCTACATTTAGGTAAAAACTCCACAGCAGTTTGTCTTTTCTTAAAGGGACAGTATTATGTAAAATCTGCTTTTTTCAATTTTACATCATGTTATAATGTTGTTCCCTCATCAAAATTGTTGCCTTGATTAAGAAATCCTTCAATCTCCATGGCAACCAGTCAGCTGTACAAAATGCCTGAATGAACCAATCTCCACCTTGGAGATGCAGCTTTAGAGCATCCACCTCACAAAAAACCCCTCCTCCCTCTGCTGAGCTCATTATAGGAGCTGCTTCTCAGATCAACGCTGGTAAAAACGTTGTTAAAGGACTAGAGGAGCCATGTTGTGATGACTTTATAAAGGCGGAGCTTCTTAAAGACACGGAGGCCCAATTTCAAGTTCAATTTGCTTTAAGTTATATTTAACATATACAACATTTTTATAACAACTGAAGGTAACATAGTTACTTTATTGTGCTATAAAATGACACCATGTGCCTGCAAAATATTAATACTGCCCCTTTAATGTTAGCTGACATATTCAGATACTAAAAGCTAATGTATTTGAATGCCTCTTTTCTACAGGGGTTATGTGCACTGGTAACGTTGGCAAAGCAGTAGTTGTATTACCTACACAAAGTAATGAGATTTACTCTTCTACTACAAACTCAGACGGGCCTGTCCAAGGTCGTCAGCGGGCCATGAATATGGATTGAACACTCTTAGCTGTTCAAAGCCTGGCCTATCTATTACATTATGAACAAGAGTGTCAGGCGTCCCAGTGCAGCCCCTCTCATCAGGTTAAAAGGTTTCACTCATTCACACTCAGATCCTCCACAGACCTCATCAGTCACCTGTATCCACCCACTGTGCAAACACACCTGCGGCCAGGCTCCGCCCCTCCGTTCTGTATTCTCAGGAAGCCAGTGGGCGGAGCCTGAACCCGGCCAGAGCAGAGTGGAGTTGTCTGATGTCCCTGGAGCTGCCTTGTCCTTCCATTCCTCCCAGCGGCGGCTGGATGTGTAGGGGAACGTGTCAATGATCCCACGTTGGTTTGTGAGCTGGAGGGGCTCGGCTGCGTGCCGTTCAGAAACATTCCACTGCGACCCGGCATGGCCCCGCTTCCAAGTCTGACGTGTCCCTTTGCATTCCCCACTACTCCAGCCATCTGAGCGGCCCTAATGGACTCCACATGTACGCTCCGGATACTTTGTGCATGAGATAGAAGAGGAGGGCCGGAGGAAAGGAGGGAGGAGGAATGGCCTCACCCTCCCTCGTGAGGTTTGGGGGATAGACTGACTGAAAACAAGGGCATCCACAAAGTAAGCGCCGCCAACAGGGAATGAGGACTTTGTTTGGCAAAGCTGTGACCTCACACACCACCAGGCAGCATTCAAGAATCCTCCTTCTCCTTTATTCAACACTAAAGGTTTAAAGAAAATCATAATTCCTAGTCCTGGGAACTCTGAATGGATTCAAAAATCTATTTAATGCGTTTAATTTGTATGTCTATGTCTCTACTATTTGTGAGTGCACTTCGTATCGCTTTACACATCCACTGGGCCACCAGAGAGGGCCGTCTCACCTGCTGTTTGTATATTTTTAATCTTTTTTTTGTCATTGAAGAAAAAGCTGTGGGTACAGCTATGAAACCTAAATACTGCTTATAGAAGTTAAAGAATTGTATCCACTATTTTTGTTTAAATATAAACTGATGGGATTTGAATGGAATGAAGTAAATGTTGTGTTTGATTACACTGTTCTTTCCTCTTGTCGGTCACATCATTTAATCGGACTCTCCAGACAGTTTAAACAGAACAACTGCTTTCTGAATTTAAATTTGTTTCTGAATTACATCGTTGCCCTAAAAATTGGAACTGAATCGTGGACTGACAGATTTTCATGTCTCATATCCGCAAAGCAGCTAAACAAACCAGAAACCTGCTTCTACTAACATTTCCCATGAATGAGCCTCTTTTTTTTCCCGGCTCTTTTTACTTTGACCTTGATGTTTTCAATTGACTTAATTTCCTCTCTTTGACGAGTGAAACTCCTGTTCCTATCTTCCATTGCTGTGCAGAAAACGAGGACCCTGCAGCGGTGCTGTGTGTGTATAAGACGGAGAACGACTGTGTGATGAAGTTCACATACCTGGAGCACGCCAGCGGACGCTCCATCCTCACCGCGCTCCAGGAGCCGGGTCGGTTTACACTTCGGTCAACTAAAACTGAATGAGTTCTGTTTTGGGTTTTCTGTTCCTCTTAAGTGTTTCAGATCAACACTTAGGATGAGACTGAAATGACCTGGGTGAATATGGAAAGCAGTTTTCAAATCAGGATTTTATTTCTTAAGGGATGAAAAGTTTAGGGTATTAGGATTAGGGCCACTTACGGGAAAAAAAAATGAATAATTGAGACTTTTTTCTTTCCAGTCCTACAGTTGAAACCAGATATTTACATACATCAAATAAAATGTTTCGTTTATTTACATATGCCAATTTTTTTTTCTCACTGATGGCTGTTAAATCAGACCAAACTTCTCTTGTTTCAGGTCAGCAAATAGAAATAATTTAGGTAAATCTAACTGACCTAAAACAAAAAAAGAAATTTGGTCTGATTTAATTTCAGACGGTAAGAACAAACTTTTTTTTTTTTTTTTTGGTGTAAACATCTGGTTTTAACAGCCCTTTTTACCCAAGACTGTGTCAATAAAGACAGTATTTCCTTTAGACTGGACAGGCCTAAAGGAAGCCGAATGAAAACGAATCTTTGTTTTAGCTGAAATTATATGTAAATTACGTAAATAATACATTATATGTTTATAAAACATAATTTCTGGAAGTGTTCCATCTGGACGTCTGCAGGGATGATATGGACGGCTGTGGTTGAATGTTACACAGAACAGAGATGCAACAGTTCATCTGGTGATCCTGAGTTCACACTGAAACCGAAACGGAGATCTGAACGATCATCTGAACCTGGGCTGCAGTTCAGCACATTGTAACACATTTACTCAGAACCAGGATACGGTGCCAGCAGTTATTTTACAAATAACTTAAAAATGAAGTAATTTGATGAAAGCAACAATTTTTAAATTATCTTTAAATGAGGAAATCCAATCAAAGAAGACATCTTAAAATAGTTCATCTTGGATTTTAACCTGAGTTTAGGAGTGGAGAACTGATGCTGCTTCAGGTCAGGTTGAAACTCAGAGTTTTTTCTAAAAAAAAAAAAAAAAAAAAAAAAAAACTGTGCCAGCAGTTAAATCCGTTTCCATGGTGATGTATTCAGATTTTTCAGCCCATCATGAATCTAAACCTGACATCTTGTCTTTCTTTGTAATCTGTTTGACTGGACGACTCCTGGCACAGAGTGTGGAGGTGGTCCGTCTGCCTTAACGGTCCTACTGGCTGTGGTGGGCACCATCTTACTGGTGGGAGTGGTTCTGCTGGCCACCTGGAAGCTGGTCATCACCATACACGACCGGAGAGAGTTTGCTCGCTTCCAGAGCGCTCGGGTCCGCGCCCGGTACCTCATGGTAAGGAAGACGTCTCTGGTCTTTTGTACCAGAGTTAGCTTTAGCTAGCTCCACATGGTAGCCAAACAGTGCCTACCATGTGGATGTTCATGTCCCAGTTACAGTAGAGTCGACATCCTGAACTCAGTGCAGCTTGTTTAAAGCTGCAGTATGTAACTTTTACAGATCTGATAAAACTGTCACCATGTTGTGACAGTTTGTTATGAGACAGATAATCAGTGTAAGAAAACTGTTTATCCTCTGTCATTAGTAGCCATGCTAACTAGCCTTAGCGTTCATGGCAGGCTATGTTGTAGTGAACCAGCTTTAATGTAGCAGAGAGAAAGGAGGAGGGTGTGAGAAGCATGTATACAAAGATGATTGACAGCACTAAAACCCTCCCACTGGCTCTGATTGGTTGTTTCTGATTGGTGTATTTCTGCAGTTAGCACTGGGAGAAGGCCAAGGAGTTTGGATTCCTTCACAGATTGTCTCATATTATCCTGTCACATCATAATGATGATTTTATTTACTTTTATTTCTATGCAGGAATCGTATTTATTGATCTTTCTTTGTACTTGGTGTATTGTACTAGTCGTTACTTTTTTAAATGTTTTTTTTTTTTTCAGGCGTCCAACCCTCTGTACAAGGACCCCATCACCACTCACTTTGCAGAAATGGAAACGTTCGAGAAGTCTTTTAACGGCGGGGTCCACTGATCCCTCTGCACGGGGCACGGCAGGACCGGTCCAACACACAGACCCCTGAATGATGGAGGACAGCAGACTGAACACACCCTCCCTCCTTCCCTCTGCTCTCCACCCGTCCACGCTGCTGACAAACGATTCAAACGAACCCAGAAGACTTTGAGTCTGTCGTATTTCTGTTCCTGAGGAGATTCAAAAGGACAATTAAACTCAGAGCGTGGAGCAGACTCAAACTGTGGATGTGCAGCTTACACAAGATAAACTCCTAACCACGTAGAGCAGCATTTACTGAACAGGATATTGGCTTATATTTCCATATTTTCAGAAATACTAAAGACATATTTGAGAAATGAGCTCTTCACTCAGCAGGACTCTGATTTGCAGCATATTACTAGCTTTTATTTCTACAGAAGGTTGTAATGATCATTTGATACTACTAATATTTACTAAGCAACAGATGTCTTACCTTTATTTTGCACATATGGTGTTAAAGTGTCTAATTCTGTAAAGATGTGTTTGGGTTGATCACATGAGGCAGTTGCACTCTCCTCTGTTAATCTGAATAGCAGGGCATTAACAAACTAACGCCTGGACATGACCTGACTGCACTCGTGTCACTCCATGTTGTCAATGGGAACCAAACTGCCACACCTCGAGTTCAAAGAGAAGCTCCAATCAGAATTTAGGTCCCGGTTTTTATAAAGCTTGACCTGCCGACATCAGTTTGACTGATTCTGGGTTCCCTTTAAGAACTGCAAACACCTGGATGGTGCTAGCCATTCACCAGTTGGAGTGAAAAGTGAAACCAGAGCACCGTTGCTGTGCTCCACTCAGCCTTCCCGTTACTTACCGACGTCTTGTTCTGTTTCAGCACATCTTATAAAACGTCTCGATGCCTCTTCTGACTTTAGTTTGAGCTTTCTTAGTTCAGTAAAGGATCCTGTATGGTCGATCTGAAGTCGACCTGTCGACTCGCGGTCACGTGGTTCCAAAGCGTTCTTTTTCGAGTCCACAAGCCGCTCCGAGCCAAGTGAAGCCCTTCCCACTGTAGGATGGTGAACACAGCGATCATGTCAGAGAGGATTGACCATTACAAGTTCACAAGTTCTGAAAAAATAATGACTGATGAGCTGCAGTATATTTATGTCGCATGTTAATGGGAAGAAAAGAAAGATGGGACATTCACCCATGGTTAACGTACTTCCTCAAAGCCTCGGACAATTGCTCCTCAAAACGATCCATCCTGCTCTCTGGCTGAAAAAGCAGCTTCTGGAAGAGCTCCTGCAGAGTGCGGTGGAAGTTTGCCAGGGGGTTGTGACAAGGAGGGGTGGACGACACGAGACTGAGAACAAAATGAAGCTATTATTGTCACACAACGGCGATAACGAGACCTATTGGCCCAACCACACAGAACCTTTAAGAACAAGCAGAGTGTGTTCTCCTTATGGCGACCTGGAAGTCTTTGCTTCTAGCGTCTTTACAGATGGGGGGGGGAAAATATGGGATTTTTGAAATTCTGTCGTCGGGTTAGCCTGACGATTCTGGTCACCAGATGAACTCTTGGTGCGACTTTAGGTTAGAGCAACCTTTTTGTGGTTACCGAAAGCTCTATTATTTTTAAAAGTTGAGTCATTCCCAGTTGATGAAGCCGCTCTTCTTTCAGTCCTGTTGTTACCCGTCTACTTGGAAGCTAGGGAAGGTTTGGATTCTCTCGTGAATTATTGACACAAATTGCAATCAAGACCCTTTGCAGAATGATATTAGCAAATTACAGTGGACAGAGTGCCTAGAAATGGTTTGCTTCGAGTCTTGAATGCGCTTCTCTTGTCTCCAATTGATCGTCCTTTTGCTTACAGATTGTGTGCGAGTCAGAACTTGCACATACTGACAGGATAAAGCCTTTACTTTGCCGAGGGAATCCTCTATTGCAACAGTAGCCAAATGACTCACAGTGAGAAACACGGCCAAGAAAACAAATTAGATGCCTAGTTAATCCAAAAGGAATGCTTTGATTTGGTTGTAATTGGATCACCATGTAGACCAGCACCAGCCCATGTTAATGATTTAGTATCTAAGCAACTGAAATGACTAAACTGAATGCAACAAGGTGTAAATGGTTCCAATATAAGTTGACTTGTCATTTTACAGGAAAACAGTGAGTGGAGGTATTGCTGTTGAAACATGTTTGATAGTAATACCAGCACCATTAGGTTTGGTACGGGACACAGTTGGAAAAGTTATGGATTCAACACAATAGAATGTTACAACATTTTATTAACTTTGATGCTGTGAAAGCTCTGGAGGAGCCATCTGCACAATGTCCAAGAAAAAAACAAAAACAAACCATCATCCTCTCACCACTTCCTGTTTGTCGTTTTCGCCAGAAGTTGCATGAGATTGTTGATCACGTGACCACAGCCCAAAAAAACCCACCTGATTCGACTCTAAAAACGTGAGTTTTTTTCTGAAATTTCCTTGAATTTACTTTTGTAATTTCAATTTGTGAAATTTTCTGGTTAATGGAAGCGCAGCTAGAGGTTGTCACTGATTTGCTGTTTAAACCTGTTGACAGTTGTTGATTTGTACTTTTTGGATAGAAGAAGATTAATATGTACTTAATTGGTTGAATAGATCCAGATGTTTATGATTTTGGGGGGAATGGGGGGATAAAGACGAGCTTTGTTTGCAGTCTTGAATGCAGAGGTGACTCAATGTTTGAACCATTATGTTGTCTATTGCTATGCTGTCATCTGTTATATGAATACCACGCTTCCTCCTTTTAGTAAATGTATTTCCAGTAAAGAAATGACATATCACCAGCCTTTTGCATGATAAAGGTTGTGGTGATGTTACTGAACTTGTACAACTAGCTGGGTGTCGTTAGCTGTGTTTCCATTACAAACATGCACAAAACCATTTCCATAATATGCTAATGCTGAAACGCATTTAAAATCAAGTGTGAAAAGTCATTAGAAAACACCCAGCACCATCCTCTCCCTGCCACATCCTGTCGTCTTCTTTGACGTTTCTGCCAGTAGTAACGTCCCGCTGTTGATTATGTTACTCGTGCCAAATGAAAAAAGTGTTCCCATTACAGTTTCACATCTATATGGCCAAAAAACAACCTCACCATAGCTAAACATTTTTAACTAAAAAGTTTTTTCAAAATTCCCATATCTCCATTAAGCAAATGTATTTTCATAATTCCGATTTGCACAATTATACGTTCAATGGAAACACAGCTGTTGTGTGGGAGGGGGCTTGTAAATATTACTTGAGTGCCAAATGGATGGCTGTGTGTTTTTACTAAGAGTTTGTCTCCTGGAACGGAAATGTTCTTCCTGCAGGGTCCTTGAAGACATGTCCACACTCCATGTTGATGCAACAATAAACGGCTCAGTTCAAACACTTGTCTTCCGGTTCACATGTTAGAGATATGAGCTTCCTTTTCCTCACACTTTATATTTAAATATTTAATATTTAGTAAAATGCATATGGGTTCATGGTTGTAATGTGATAAAATGTGAAGGATCTTAATTCATTCAATTAAGTCCAAAATTATTTCCACCCCTGGCAGATTTAGTCAAAAATTATCTTCAGTCGATTGAAATGAGAGGCTGAATTTGAAACCCTGCGCCAGAGGAGGGCGGCTTTAATCGTCCATCTAGACAGCGATGTACTGATGAGGAGGAGGAGGAGTGACAGCCAGTTCAGAAAGAGTCGACCGAGGCGGAAAGCGGTTTGGCAGTGGGAAATTTGTTGGAAGTCAATAACTGCAGCACAGAGCAGAATCTGACCTCATTAACACCATCGACATTTTTAATGATCTGTCAGCGCAGAGCTTAGGGGAAGGACACGACACCGACTTTAGACAAAGCTGCTAATAATATGGAGCACAGAGGAGGTTGTCATTATTCGTCTCCATGCATTTCATTTTTCTCGAAGCTTTTTCAATTGTAATCAATTCCCTCTTTAGTTCCCATTTAAATCATGAGCTCCAACACAAACTGTCTTTTAAATAATGTAGATGAGCTGTTGCAGCCTGGGGCTTGATCTAAATAGATCACAGACATCAGTGGTTCCTGGAGCCTTTTATTAATGAAACACAATTAATTTATTGTAAACTACTTTGAGTTATTATTGCCTTTTCCTTTATCAGGATGACCTGTGTTCTTTCTACAAAGGGTAGTAGAAACAACACACACACTCTACTGAATCTTCTCGTTTCCTCCTCTGTGTGTGCGTCTGTGCACGCGCTCGTGTGTGTGTGTGTGAGTTATTGCAATGTTCTGCCAGCTGACATCACACGCCCGGTTTCCTGTCTTGCTTGCTAAAATATTTTTCTTTATTTTTCACTTCCTTTTTTTTATTGGAAAACTTCCCTCGGCCTGTTTTCTCCTCAGCACCTCTCACCCTGCCGAGACGAGAGAGGAGGAGTGAGAGAGCAAAAACGCCCTCTCAGAATATTAAAGTTTTACATAATAGCAAACGGAGAAATAAGTCAGTAAAAATGTAAATTTTAACGGAACGAAGCACACTTGAAATATTAATATGTAATGCCTCTAAAAAGTCAAAATCATGAATACAAGAATTAACTCAACTGCATGAAAATCTACAACAGATCCAAGGATGCTATGAGTTTAAAAAGGATTTCACAGTCGATTCAGAATCAAATGGTCAAATACTGAATCATAAATAATTATCAGCCCCATTAAAGCAGGAGTTTATGTCAATTTGCTGCTGCAATGATCACTGTTCATTAGTGCCAAAGAGGAAACGCATCAGCAAATATCACTGACAATATGGCAAGGGTCACAAGGCTGTTTCCAAACAACCAGACATCCATTATTGCGAAACATTATTTACAAGAGGAAATGGAAACAGGAGTGTGTGCCCCTGCAAACCAAGGTTATCATAGTTAACTAAAACTATCTGAATTAGACAAGAAATTAGACGGTTACAAGGAAATGAAACTAAATTCAGAACTATTAACTGTGTTTCAAACTGCAAGTCACCTGCTACTGTCAGTCATGGTGGTGGAAGGACGGTGATTTGGACTGGTGTTACAGCTACGTACCCGTGACCTTTCAGTCATTGTAGTTATCCATAATGACTGAGGTCATCTGTGTGCTTGCTAAAAACTTTCAGGACCTGCTACAGAGCAGCTAATGCTTATTGTTCTCTGATGGGTAAAACGTCAGAGATGACCATCTTTCACCAAAACCAAAGCTGTCTTCTTCTTCTTCTTCTGGTCTCGGTCTCAAATCAGCAAGCCAGTCACCAAACTGCCAAGGTGCTGTAGCCCAGATCATTACCCTTTCACCTCCGTGCTTCATAGTCAGCCTGAGATGACTGGGCTGAATCTTTGTCTTTGCTTCACACTTAGACGAGCTGCTGGCCAATTTGTCCAAACAACATGTTTACCACAAAAATCCTGTTCCAGGATCTGGTCCAATGGTCTGTTTTTCTAGCTAATTAGATTTAACGGGTTCTTACCTGAAACAACCTGGTAAATACAAGAGTCACCAGTGAGACAAGAAAGTGCAAAGAAAGCAGCTTTGGTGTTCAAATTTAACAAAGGAAACAATGCTCCATCTTGGTAAACCTAATGGGGTTTTCTCTGTTCATTGGGAATGAGGAGGTAAACACAAGTTACCCACAATTATTACAGAGAAATGCACAGCATTCTACTTTTTTTTCTCTTTAACTAATGAATACAAAGTAATAATGATGCTAACTGAAGTGCTCACTTTTTCTCTTGGAGTTCTTGCGGCTCAGGTCAGATCTAGCACAAAGCTCAGTGAACCGTTTGAAGCAGCACTCTCAGCTGCTGTCCACCTGATCTGAGGTCCGGTCCCTCCCAGCCCACACGGTTCCACACAGGCCGGGTGTTTATTTAAGCCACCGGGAAGCTGTGCTGTTTGAACTGTGCCAGAAGCAGCACTGCTGTGGGTAATGGAAGAGAGGTGAGCTCTGATTGGTCGGTGGGAACCTCTTCAAAAGCTCAGTCTGCCAGCTGCTTGTTGCAGACGTCTGAGTTTAATCTTTGAGTTTGAGCTCTGCTTGTTTGCAAATCCAAATTACTAAACTGCAGTTATAAGTGATTGATTTTTAGGTTGGCCAATTAAACTACTCCCCCTCTCCCAGATTTGACTAAATCTGTATGTATAATATCTAATGTATAATATCAGCCAAAATAATACAAATGACCATTTAAAGAACAAATCATACACTAGATCAACAGTAAATGCATAAATACTTCCAACCTTAAAAAGTTTGTTAGGGCTTTCTGTTTTATTTTTGACATGATTATATATTTTATGAATTCATTGTTCAGTGGTCATTAATGCATCAGACACAGACCTGCAGCCCAGGGCCGGATCTAGATGGGGGCCAACGTCAAACCAAATAAGTTATACTAAATAAATGTCTTATGTTAATACTCGGTGGTGATTTTTTTTAACCTTCACAATTTTACTTTAACAATGAATTAAAAATTATAGTGCTAAACTTTTAGCTGCTGTATGGAGATAAGATCACACTTTCCATCTGCCAAGGATCTGCAAACTGAATCTTTGGAGACACAAGTGGCTCTTTGGGTCACTTAATATATCAAATGATGAAATATTGCTCTGTTTTTTTGTTTGTTTATTTGTTTCATTCTTTTTCCAAGTGTTGCCATGAAGAAACATTGACTATCCTGGCCCCTGTGGTGAATTTGGTCTAGAACCAGCCTCCAAACCTAACTCCTTATTTATATAAATATTTTGGTAATACTCTGTAAAATATCAGAATGTTCACATAACCTTTATACTTTTAGTTGTCTAAAGACACATTTTGAATATTAAATCAGGTGTTATGATCAGTTACTCAGTACTTGAGTAGTTTACCAAATACTTTTTATACTTGCTTAATTAAACGTATTTAAAGTATACTACTCTGATTGGAGTACAGTTTGGGGGCACTCTAACCGACCTCTATGCATGAGTGATTGCTCTATGGATCACTTTTTAAAGACAAAAAACACTGCCATAAAATAATGTCTATTACTGCAGCGGACATCCCGCCACATGGGAGTAGGATGACACGATGTGGTGGGCGTCCTTTAGTTTGATTTCTGAAAGGTGGCAACCCTAGTTAGGTGTGTACTGGTAAGGTTTAAGGTCTGAGTCAGGGTTAGGCTAAAAAGATGAATGGAAGTCCATGCAAAGTTCCTGTGAAGATATAAAGACGTACTATGTGTTGGTACGTGTGTGTTTCAGTAACTTTGAAAGACGCTCCAACATGCGGGGTGGCCTCTTCTGGCAGTAACGTTATAGCCTCCACTATTCAGTCATCTGCTGCCCCCTAGTGGCTGTGGTGGGCGCTTAAGGCATAAGTAGGATTTCTAAAGTTTTTGATTGCTCACTGGGAAACTATAGTATTGGTGCTGCTCTCCACTATGTTTGTGTTTCCTATCAGGTCATTACTGTAAATAGGAACATTTACTGTAGGAAAAACATGAGACACTTTAAGATTAGCCTCACCTCTGTCAGACTGCCCCAGGGCAGCTGTGGCTACAAACCAGCAGCTTGCCACCATCGGTGTGTGAATAGGAATAACTGGATGTAGTGTGAAGCGCCTTGGAGACCTCTGAACCTGATAAAGTTCTAAACAAGTTCAGCTGATTTAACATTTACTTGATTGTGATATAAAAACGAACTATGATCATGGAAAATGTATAATAGCGCCTCCTTAACAAATAATTGGCAAAGCATGATCTCTGCTGGAGAACTGGAGATGGAGCTATCAGTGTAGCTTCTTGGATCGGCTGGATTATGTTAGCTAAACATCCTCACACCACCCCACCTTCCTCTTGTCCAGCTTGAAGCTTTGGACCAGTTACTGGTCCACCCATGAGACCATCCATCTGGTCCATCTTGAGTCACTTTATTTCATAAATCAAACCTTTGAAAAACTGTGTCTTTTGACACTTCAGGTAATGTCCGGGTCAGCAACTGAACCGGACATTACACCAACATGGTATTTTAGCAGTAGCTAAAGCACGAAACCAACTTGTTATTTAGCAACATCTAATGCTAAAGTACTAAACCAATCCACCATTTAGCAACAACTAAATAACATCTTTAATTAGTTTCACATCTTTCTGTTGTATTTCTTGGTATAATGTATCAGCATTCTGATGGACAGTCACTTGGTCTTTTTGATGTACATCATCTCTAGTTAGCTGACCATTTTAGTCTTTTAGATACAATCTTTTGTAAGTCTTGAGTCTTGCAAGTGGGAAATAGTAGTAGTAAAGAAAGAACGTTTATTTCATAGTATTGTTAATTTAGAAAACCAATAAGACTTCTTCTTCATTCCATCAGATGAGGTAACCATCAATTTAAATAAAGCAACAGAGTGACATCAGTGAAGAGGAACGGCGGGAAAGCTGTGGGTATGGTTCTGTGGGCCGGCCGACGGATCAAAAGCAACATATTGTAACTGGAATCCACCAGCTGTTACTGAAGCATCAGAGAGGAACTTCAGGGTCATCACGTTTCCTGAAACACAGCAGAGACCGGTCTGATCAACGCTTTGAAACTTCTGCCAGTCAAATCTGCACTTAATGAAATGGAACTTAGCGTTTCTAATTTGCTTTGGGGGACCTGAAATGATTGTTTATCTATATCTTCTCCTGCAATACGGCGGCGGCCATGTTGTCCGCGGGAAATTTCTGAGTTTGAAAAGTCAAAACTTTGCTAGAAGAAAACTCAAATTTTGAGATTGATCTCAGAAATTTTCTAGAAAAATAACTTGGGGAATCAAGGTTTCTCTATAAAGTTTTTGATATTAATCTAAAACATTCATAAGAATTTAGACATTTTGGCGGAAATTTACCTTGTAATTTTTTGTATATATAATGGCCCTAGTATGCGGTCGTAGAGATTTTAATGTCAAAGGAAACTAGGTAATTTTTGTTTGCTTGTTTCCTGTTTCTACAACTCTAGAGGGAGCCCTAGAGCAAAGAACAAACCTGCAAGACTGACAATCCAGTGAGGCACATGAAACAGTACTAAGTTGTGCCATATGAGGAAAATAAGGAAAGGGTTTTTGGAAAATATTTAAAATTGTAATATCATTAAACAAACAACTTAGACAAACATGTGTTGAGTTCTAATAGCCACCCAACATTTTAATCAAATAGAAAAACTACATTTAGGTTATCAATCATTCAAATTTTATTCATATGTATATATATATATATATATATATATATATATATAGTCATTCAATTGAGAAGAATTCAACTATAATTGTCACGATTTTGTTTGTTTAATGAGAAAAACATAACGGAAATGAACCAGCAGTTACACAAATACTTCAGTTTAACCAGAGTTCAAACTGTTTCTGTCATGTATAAATGATAATGATGGCAGCTCACCTGTGCTGATGATGTCATCCGGTAAATTGTCACCACAGAATCTGGAGAAGGGTATAAGAAAAATGATAAAAGTAAAGACAGGAATGCCACTGTAGGACAAGAATTTATGTTTTTTGTATGTAATATCTGAATATTGTGGCGAGCATTTGTGTTCAGTCAAACTACCTTTCATTGGCAGATCACTTCAATAACAAGACATTTTTCCCTTGTTCGAAGTGAAAAAACCTGCCAGTGGAACTAGTACTTTGAAGGAATATTATTGACTTAAAATAAGCTCCCATGTCTTGCTGAAAAGTTATGTGTAAGTTAGTTTTGTCTTATTTCAACTCTACCAAGATGTTTGCACCACAGACCAAAAATACTTGGTTTTGGCATTGTGATGTTTGTTCCCGTTTCCACACAGGTTAACCCATAAACTGCTGATGCACTGCTCAGACTGACACCCACCTCCCAGCGAAGCCGGACACATCGTCGTAGCTGTCGTACACCTCCAGGTAATCTGCCAGGCAGGACATGTCTTCCTCCACGTCCAGCTCCAGGAAGTGAAGGCGAATCCTCTGACCCAGACGCACCCGGATGTGCCAGTAGCAGATCAGCTCATCCTGGTATTCCTCAGGGAAACCGGGCGACTGAATGATCTTCTGCTGCTCAGTCAGAATGCCGCCACACTCCTTGGCTGTCGGGAACATGGGAGACACGATGAAACTACTAAAGACTACTATCTTTAGTAGTTTCGCTGCAAATAGGATCTTTAGCTATGTAGCTTTTGCCTGAGAAAGTTAATCACATTTCCTGTGATAAACTTGTACACACTTGTGTTGGGACCGTTTCTTTGCAATGCAGAGAAATATTCTTGGTTTCTGAGAAACGATTGCTTCCTGGACTCTAAGTTAAAAATCTTATCTAACAATTGCTAACGTTTGTGAAGTATGTAGTGCGCCACTTAGATGCTATGAATTAAGCTTACCAGATATTACCTGCACTGTGAACAACCATTCTCCATTGCAAAGAGATATGTTGATTCAACATATGGAAGTATGGTCAACACATACTAAGCTTTTTTCACTTTCATTGCTGCCATTGCTAAAACGACAGGCAGACTACAATTCTAAAACAGAGCAGAAAATTGACATCATTGTTCACAACTTCTTCTGTTCGCTGATTGGCCTGGTTGAATTTCTACTGGATGAATCCAAGTGAATGGAAAAAAGCCCCGACTGCCTGTGAAGTGAGATTTGAATTGAGGTCAGGAAATGCACTTCAGGTGAGAATCACAGCTGCAATTGCTGAGTTTCACCACTAGAGAGCGCCATCGATTAAGCAGAATGAATGCAGATCTAGTGTGGTAGGGCCAAGGGAGTTTTATTCAGTTATTTATTTTGCACTTAGTTTTACTGAGACATTATGTCATTTCCACATTTTGAATGGCCTTAAAAAGCCAAGCTTCTTTAAGAAATTATTCAAACAATCTGCAAGATTTGGGGAATTTAAGAAAAAATGGTCCCATGTCAAATTTTTGATGTATTTTTCTTCAGTGTTGATTAAACTGAAGTATTTTTGCTCATTTGAAAACTTCTTCACCTTTAAAAATGATAATTGTACTCTGTTGAGACAAGCTCTGGACTTTTCTGAAAATCAACAAATGCTTAAATTTGTAAATAGATTGCAATTTCAAAGATCATTTCAGTGACTTTTTTTTTTTAGTTTGAAAGCTTTCAGGAAAAAAAAATTGAAAAAGATCAGAGCAACACAGAAAACCTGAAGACCTGAGCAGCAGCCATGTCCAAGCAGGGCCTTCAGTCAGCAGGTAAGGAGTAAAAAACTTGTTTTATCTAAATATAATTTTAGTTACTAAAATTCCTATGAACTTCTGTAACTTCCTATAAAAAGAGTTTACAGTTATTTTTAATGTAAAAATTCTCTTTTTATATTTGAGAAGAGTTTCTAAGAACATTTAATTAGTACTTTGTGGTTATATGCTCTGTGTGAACTGTAAATATCATATGACACAGAAGTCTGTTTTTATTTCATCAACAGCCATTATTCTGAGCAGGATGGTAAGGCATGTCTCCATGACAACAACTACGTGAAAGCTGGTTATAAAAAGACTTGCCAGGAAAAGTTTTTTATGTTCTGCACAATCACGCATACATTTTTTTTAAATAACAAACTATTTTATTCCTAATATAGTTTTACATTTATTTAGAGAAATGTGTTTATGTGAGTGAAATTCACAAAAAAAAAATCATCTGAAATAAGTGTAACCTGGTTGTAATTCTCTTTTGTTATAATTACACAAAATGTCTTTTTTTGATTATTTGTCTTGTTCCTTATCTTACTGAAAAAACCTCTGTCATTGTTTTAACCGTGTTACTTTAAGATTGAAGCCCTCCCTTTTATTTCTTCTTCTGTGGTATTGTCTTTAAATTGTTTGCGCCCCTTAGCCCCTCCCCTTTTGTCATGTTGTCCTGCGGGAGAGGTGTGTGCGTTTTATTTTTCCATCTAAATACATTCAGTTTATTTATAGATCTATTAAGTTAATTTTTGTTATATACTTTTGTTTTGTGTAGGACTTGGAGCGGGCAGCCTTTAACACGGTTGTTTTGTTTGTATTCTTGACAGGTATGTTGTACAAAAATGTTTATTTAGTTTTTTTGTAAGTTGTGAGAGGTGTTTCCCCGCCCCTTTTGTCATGTTGTCCTGCGGGAGAGGACTTGGAGCGGGCAGCCTTTAACACGGTTGTTTTGTTTGTATTCTTGACAGAAATAAACCGAGAATCATCTTTTAAAAGACAAAAAAAAAAAAAAAAAACATTTTGTGTAATTATAAAAAAAGAG